ACATTTCTGATTCATTGACCATGGGAGAGCTCCTTCAAATCTTCCCCTGGCCCCAGCTCTTTGTGAAAAGACAACCCTCTCATCAGTGACAAAACCTGTGCTGCCTCCTAGATGCATTGGGTCTGTTCTTGCAGCCCTTCTCATCCTTGCACCCCAGCCAGAGCAGAAAAGCAGCAGTCAGCAGCAGCAGCAGCCTCCAGCTCTTCCTGCAGGGAATGGCTCCCCCACGCATGGCACAGGGAGGAGACTCACAATCAACTCCTTGTCAAGAAGCACTCCGTTCCCAAGGCTGGAGCAACACTGATCACTGTTCCAGTTTTTCATCATGTAATGGGTAACCTGAGGCAGTTTAACAAAAGCTGGTTGTTTAATCCTGGTCCCTTGCAAACTTACAAAGATGGAGATGCCCTCATTTCTTTGATGACTTTTTCCAGCACTGTACAACCTTCCCATGAAGAAGTACTCTTCTAGTTTCCAAATATCCCAAACTGAACCTTCCAAGCTGCAATTTGTGGTTACTGCCCTTTGATACACCATCTCCAAACTAGCAAGGAAAAAATTGGCTTTGTGATCTTTGCAACTGCCATTGAAGTAGTTGTAGGCTACAATTAGATCCTCCCTTAGCCTCCTCCATGCCAAACTATATATGCCCAGCTCCCACAACCTCTGGTTGTAGACCACATGCTCCATGCCTCTGACTGCCTCAGTAGCCTGCTGCTGGACCCTCTCCAGATTCCTCCATATCCTTCTTGGACTGGGCTGAGGGGAGGGGGTGTGGAGAGCACAACACCCAGAACTGAACATGCTATTCCAGGTGCAGCCTCACCAGTGCCAAGCAGAGATGGATAACTTCCCTCCATCTGTTGGCCTTGCTCCTCCCAACATAGTATATGATTTGCCTTATGAGGAGAACTGCTACATGTGGGCTTACAGTCTATTTGGCATCTGCCATAACCCCCAGGGCCTGCTGAGCAGGGCTGCAACTTAGCCCATCACCTCCCAGCCTGTGCAGAGACATGCAGTGGCTCCAGCCAGCTGCCAGGCTCTACATCTCACTGTGCTAAACTTAAGAGGTTTCTTCCAGTACCATCCTCTCATCTATTGAGATCCCTCAGGGTTGAACCATTTGGAATGTCAGCCACTCCCTGTATCTTAGTATCTCCCTATGCAAGATTTTTAAAATGACAAAATGCAAGTGATATTTTAATTCCTTTAGTCACAAAGGACTTTTAATGTTCTTACTCAGCTTCTGACCATGTTTTTCCCATTTCTTGTTTGCTCCCATTTGGTCCACAGTCTCACTGAGCTGTGGTCCTGTCATCAGCCTCTCCTTGGCTGTCAGCAGCACCAGGAGAAGGATCCTGTGACTACAGGGTTTACTGCAAAACTCTTGTTTTCTCCCTGTGCCCAGCACGGAGGCTTGTGGGACTGGCTCCTATTGCTCCCCAGTGCCTGTGCATCAAAGGCAGAGGATATAATATCTAGTTCCCTTTTCCAGGTAACTACTTATCCATCTTAAATAGCTGTAGATTGATAAACCGGTCTAAGGAAAGCTGGATACTGCTGCAGTTATTCCCACTCTTTCTTTCCTAACTCCCCTCAGAAAGAATTGTATTTAGCATGGAAATAATACTGCAATATTGTGCTGCACTATATACCGGACAAAGAGGTGTGTGGTGCTGTATCAGCTGCAAATAAGCTGTGGACCTAAGCCTAAGGCTACTGAAATGCGTAAGAGGCTTTGGACATTGCATCATGCCCGAGTTAACTTTTGACTAAAGTAAGAGTTGGATATTTGGCTCTGAAATCAGAAGCGTGCTTAAGGAAGTGAGTGCTCCCACTGGAAGCGATAGGTCTGCCTGTGCGCTTAACGTTATATACGTGGCTGTATAAAACTGGGCCTGGATCTGTTTTGCCACTAGGAGCCCCTAAATCAGACTTGTTGCTGAAAGTTTCCCAATGCTGCCACCTACAGAATAGGTTAACTACAGCTTTCAACATAGCAGAGAAGAAAACTTCTGAGGAAATACTAGTTTGGTTCTAAATTAGCAGTGTGCAGGTCTAAAGAGATAAGGCTGAAATCCTACCTGAGATTCTGAAATATTTCTCAAATATTTCCAAGGATAGTCTATATGTTAACTGTTAAAAGTTCACTCTGGAAGGCTGCACAAAAGTGGCAGGAACCCGTTAATTCAAATTTGATCAATAGATTCCTCACATATCTGGAAGAGCAACAGTGGCTGCAGCCAGTCACAGGTTTCTTCCAGAGCAGGAATAAAACACAAAACAGGTTTCACAAGCTCCTGCCCTTCTCAGTAGCTGTCAGAGTGAAAATTCAGGGGTAAATTCAGAAAATACACTTAGGGTTTTAGATGGGAAATGGGGAGGGTCAAGAGACCTAACTTCATTAAGGAGGACGCACAGTAAGTTCAGAAACAGTTCCATATGGAACTACAGACTGAAGATAAAAATACGAAGAGGGGAAAACAATGAGAGGTAAGCAACAAAATGAGCCTCACTTCGAATAGGATGTGACCAACAGAAAATAATACATTACCAAAGAGCATTTGCTTATTAGAACATGTTTTGATTCCTAGCACTCTGAAAAAGCCTACAGACATTTACATCTCCTGGTTCAAACACTTCCTGCTAGAGTGTGAAACAATGGGCAAAGATTAACATTTGAAAACTTGTAAATAGATAAACCTGTTGGAAAATATAAATGAAAATACTTTGTTTTGAGCTTATACACACCTGATACGACCTTAAAACATCTTCCATGTTTTCTATTTATGGCTTATTCTGTATTTAACTTGCATTTATTCTGTGTTCTAATGTAGCACATATGCACTTCCATGCATTGACATTTCTTCTGAATGCATTAAACACATCTGGAACAGCTGCACTGTTACTATTGCAAAAGTTTCCACGTATTTAGCTTACAGATCCTCACCCATTGTCCATGACCTCCTTTCTTCTGAAGTAACTCTATCCCAACTCCTCAGATATCCAGCAACTCATCTTCCTCTTTTTACCCAGGCTGTTTTAAAGTAAAGCCCAGTTGTTCGCCAGCCCCTGGGGTAATTTTAGCAGGGGCAAACGGCTTTGCTAGTGATGTTACATGACTGGATGGGTAACATTCATTCCTTAGTTGTCTGTATTTCCATCCTGTGAAGCTGTACCTGGAACCAGAAGGTAAGAAAGTAAGAAAGGTCTGTCACAACCCTTTCCTTATTTTTCCACAAGGCCAAAATTATTCAAGTGTTGCCTTTCAGCAGATTCTTAACCCAAAAGCTTGAGCAAGAGTGGGGGAAAAAAAAATAAAAAAAAAAAAATAATGAAACAGCTTCAGTAGCACTAGAGATTTGTATTGTTAGATTAAAAAAGCCTACCAGGAATAAACTAAACCAGCAAACATTTGACTGCTGCAATCACAATAAAAATACAGTATTATGTCAGGTTGCTTCAGCATGAACTGCCTGCCTGTACACAGGCACTTACGGCAGGTACACTTGGCAAAGGTCTTGAAAGCATGAGAAGGGTCCCCTGTAGAATTAAAGCACACTCCCCCAGATACAGCATACAGATGACTGGGCTCTGTATTCTCTCATACCCTCTCTCTCCTCACACCATATCTGTTTTTTATTGCTCCTTCCACTCTCCTGTGCTCACACCACACGTTTCCTCTCTTCCAAGTCTCGTTGCCAAGCAGCCTGAGCTGCAGGCATGGCTCTGAGCCTGTGCTGGAGCAGGAGGCTGCAGTGGAGATACCCCAGGAGGCCTCCCTCCGCACTGTGACAGCTTTTACTAACAGGTAGAGCAAAACGCTGTTGTAGAGAACAGTGACAGCCAACAGACCATGTCAGCAGGTAGCATTCACTGCCCTGCTAACAGAAGTTAATGTTCAGAACTGAAGTACTCTGAACTTCAGCTAAGCCTCAGAATTTGAATTAAGATGTGTTGCAACCCCCTGCTAGCTTTGGCTATCAGGTAATTATATGGGCAGTAAAGCAGCCCAATACTAAACACCTTCAGACCATGCACTGCTTTAATCAAAGCTTGTATTTTGAATTACCCTGCAAAAAAGCCTGGAAGAAAGAACAGTCTGCAGCATACACAGTGCACGAGCAGCCACCCAAGGACTTAAGTTACCCAGCACAATACAACATGGCTGGCAGGCACAGGCTAGGGCATAAATGCATTTGAAGAAAGGCCCAAGCTAAAGGGTATTTTATCCCTTCTTACAGCTACCTGAGGTATCACCAAGTTGCTGAAACAAGTAGCTAAACTCAGGTAAGAACAGTTTCCACAAAAAGTCATAGTTGAGACCAAGGAATATGTTGTATATATTAAATCCCTCCACCTTGAACCTAAAATTTCATTTTGCTATTAATTCACATAGTGCCAGTTTCTCCTTTTTCAAGGTCATTTGGTAAGGAACAGGTAGTACAGCCTTTCAAGGCCTTCCTAATAAAAGCAGAAGTTGGTAAGTGCACACTGGCTAGCTGAGGATTGTGTTCAGCATTAGCCAGATTTTTTAGCTCAAGGTAGGGAAAAACCCCTGTTCCAATACTGCCTCCCATAAGGAAACACAACACCAACCAATTCACTGGGTATTCTGTTGCTTGTAGCACTAACACAAACAGCCTCTGTTTAAGAGCAGCCAGCTTGAACCTGACATTTGAGTGTTCACTTACCTTACCCTTCTAAAAATAAATATATTCAGGGTGGCAAACTGCAGTTTAAGAGTTTCAGACTGGACATTAGGAAAAGCTTTACCAGACGGGTAATGCATCACTGGAACATGTTACACAGGCATGTGCATGTCTCCATCATTGGAGGTCTTCAGGACACTAGAGAAAGGAGTTGCCCTGCTAACCTGAAGCTAACATTAACTTTTTTCTCAGTGGAGAGCTTTGAAGGACCTTTGAAAACAAGGTTTATAGAGGATGCCACACAACTTTTGGAAAAAGCTACAGTGATCACTTTAGACCATTTAACTTCCAGCAGAACATTTTATTCTCATTAAGGACAAGGAAATATCAACCAACAGCTCAATTAACATGACACAGATTAAACAAGCCCCGTTAAGCATTTTCTACTCAACATGTGAAAAAAGTCTACAGACATCTGACGTGTCCAAACTGTTCACATTAAAACTTGAGCTCATCCTTCAGCATAAGCTCAGCTGATGTTGCTCCTGTGTATAGCAAAAGGTGGAAACAATTTAAGTTGCCAGAACAGCTGTGTTTAACAAGTACTGAAGCACTGGAGTTTAGACTGCATTTACTGGTGTGCTATTAGACTGCTCTCCTTGCATCTCTTCAGAGTCTCAGGCAGATTTGCAGAAAGCCACAGCAGAAAAACGAACTTCTCCTTTTTCACGTTCTGTAAATTGTCTGCAGATCTTCGCAGAATCCTTGGAAGAAAAAGAAAAAAAGCTGTTCAGATTACCAGAATACACCTGCTGTAGAAACCACGTCTGTACGGCTCCTCTCTGGGTCCCACCAACTAACCGTCCACCTCTTGTAGCACCAGCTAATAAAGAGTTAGGTTATCTAGCTCTGCGGCACAGTACTACCTTGTTACCATGGTGTAAGAAGTACCACCTTGTACAGCAAGCCCGTACAGCTCCTATACACTGAATGCATTGCTCTCGCCCTTTTATAAGCCTTGTTTTTCAGGGAAACAAGCAGCAAGGGAGAAGTCTTACCTTCAACAGCAGGTCAGCTGAGCTTGTGCCATGGTTTACAGGAAACGGCATGCGCCCATCTGTGAAAGAAAGCCCTATCACTCAGAGTACTTATTGCTTCTGAACTAGCAGAACTGAGCATAGCAGGCCCAAGAAACAAGTACACTCAAGGATACCAGGGAAGCCAGAACAAGTCCCCCTGAATGAGAAGGGGACTAAGTATTGCTAGCACTATAGGAGATGACATGCTTTACAAGAGGGCCTAAGCCTTCAGTGCAACCCACCTTCAGTTAAAACCTTCAAGTGAAGGTGTAAGTTACTTTTATTGGCTTTGAGAGCCTCAGCAAACAGCTTAACTAGCACCAAATATCTAGCCTGAGCCCCCAGGGCTGCACAGTATAAAGCACGCCCAGTGCAACTGCAGAGTTCTCAGAACCTTACCCAATTCATACAGATGTCCATCCACATTGGCAAATAGGATGAAGTGGAAGTTCACACTGTTGTCCTCAACCTTGGGAAAGATCATGAGATATATCTGTTAGACTGGAAAAAGCCAAGTACTGCAGACCCTACTTGTTACTACAGGACAGAGATGTCCACAGCAAAGGAACAGCAAGCACTAAACCCAAGTTCAGCTGAAGAGGTCTCTGCAAGACCTCTACAAGGTCAAGCACTAGAAATCCTAATGTATGGCCACATTTTCAGTCTGGATCTGAACCCAAGTTTTCAGTCCATTTTTGAGGAAGAAACTCTGCTGCACAAGCATGCACCCACAAGTCACTCATTTCTTTCCTCATGAGCTGTAACAGCTATCTGCCACACAAAAACCTGTACTGCTCTACCACCTTCATTAACCCCCCTCCCAAGATTCTACACATTCATCTCTTACCCGACACTGTCCTTCTTGTGCAACAGAATTGTGGACTTCTTGTATAGCCTTAAGAGAAAGCAGACACAGGTTATTACATCCTTAAGTGATGATAGCTGTCAGCAGTTTATGTAGTTCATGTACCTTATTATTTGCAAAATGTTTAGCTCTCTCTTCAGGAGACAGACCAGCTGTTTCATCAAGAAACTTCTTCAGGACAGACCCCTCATCTGCACAAGATGATCAAAGATTTTATTCAGTTACAGTTCAGATGCAGCCCACAGTAATCAATGCTTGTTGCCTTCAGCCTGGAACTATCCAGCACAAGTGTACTGTAACTACCGCTTGCAGCTAGTTATCAGAAGCTATCAGCAACAATCCTACACAAACAGCCAGAGTTCGAGTGCTTCAGGGTACTCTAGCTGCTCATTTTGGAACTCACTTTCAAATGGGGTTTAGCTTTTCTGACTCCCCCCTTGCAGATTTGGCAGAGGTGCTCAGCCCTGCTTTGGGGAAATTCAAGAAAGGTGCCAGCTGTAAGGACACTGAAGTATCAACTAACAGAACACGGGTAGCTGAAATTAAGTTGTCTCAAAGCCTTCCAATGCTCATGATGGGCTTGCTTTGGTTTTCCAGAACATAAACTAGCAATGTAGCACTAAGGAGCACAGAGTTCTAATCTTACATGGAAGACATGCTGCATCATTCATTTCACTCAACAAGAGTGTGTTATTTCAGAGAATCCTTTAAAGAAGAGTAAAGCAAAGCTACTGTCATTAAGCCTTCCGTGGTGTAAAGAAGGAAACCCACATCACCCAGAGGTTCCAAGCTGTCTCGGAATAATGAAAGTTATAATTTGCAGATCTCTGGTCTTTAAATAATAAAATATTTCCTGGACTCGATGGCTTTTGACAAGCACCTGTAATCCTATAGCCTAGAAGTTTCCAGCCACAAGCTGTCTAACCCAGTTTTATATCCTATAGAAGAGGACAATCAAACTATTACCTCTGCAGGAGAACACTGCTTACAGACCCTTATCCTGTCTCACTTTCCCAGCAAAAAAAAAAAGTATGTTTTAGACTAATCTACAGGCTACCCCAAACAAGTTGTTCACATTAGACATAAGTGTCATGAAAAACTTTTCAATTGACATCAACACCAGTGTCAATAGCTACTTCTGAATATGACACTTCCTAGTTGCAAACAGTCTTTGGTCAGTCCTATTATGTGCCCTTTTCTCTTGCATTGCTCACTAAGATGACACCTTTGCAGCTGCCAGACAGGAGCCAAAGCACATTCCCTTCTGTGAATAAGGCAGTAGATGAGACCATATGCCTCTCTTCAAGGGCTGAAAGACCCACTTACCAACTGAAGCAGTACAGCATGCCTTAATTCAACTTGTAAGAAAGCCCCAAGGCCTCCAATAACCTATATCCACTCAATCTTTCTGTCATTAAAAATAAATAATATGGAAATTCAAAGCACTTCAGAGCATTCATACTCACCAAGGTTCAGCTTGTCTTTATTATTAGCAACTGCATGTATCAGACCAATTGTCCCACAGGAGTTGCTGACAGTCTGCTTCAGGAAATATACCTTGGAATTGATTTCTTGGTTCTTTATTTTCTCAGTCTGTTGTTTCCTGAAGTTCTCATGCTGTAAACATGTAACTGTTATAAGCATTTCATCACAAGGATATCTTTTTATTGTACCAACTACTAAACAAACGAGTTCTGCAGCAGAATCAGTACCAGGACTGGACAAAGATTTACCCAGAAATTCATCTTTGCAGCACAGGTCCAGCAAAGCATCACTGTATATACTGGATGCAGGCCCAGTCTTAATGGACTACCTGCATGACTCAGTGATATCCAAAGGCACTGTTCTTAGCCTCTCCCTGTGTTCTGTACGCTGGAAATGGTTTGGGGTGGGAAATCACATCATGAAAAGAGCTTTTCATATCATCTTTCAATAGTTTTTGTCCATTTAATCAGACTACTTGGCATGTTTCTGCTATAGTTTGCCTCTGTACCTTTAGTACACTTCCCTTTATGAATCCTCCCTCATCAGAGCAATGTATTAAAAAAAAAAAAAAGCGTAAACCCCATCACTACTGAAAGGCTATAAAATCCTTCCTTTAAAGAACCCATTAAATACACCTTGAAACAACATCCATCTCATCTACTTCCTTAACATCGATTGTACTAAGTGTATTCATCATACATAAGTAATTTCAGCCTCCCCAGATGCAATGATTCAGCATGGTAACAGAATTGTTATTTCTCACACCCAAGACCACTCATGCTCTTTTTTGCCAGCCCAAAATACAAAGCAAAGTATAAGAGCAGCGTCGGAGTAAGAGGCCTTGTTTTGTTGTTTAGCTCATTTTACTTCATGCTATTTGGAGGTTGGGGCTAAGCATCCAGTATGTACTGCCTACCACCTACCTACAGCCCCACTGCAAGCCAAACCCACTCCCAACCATCTGATGCTTGAGAAGATGACAGAGGCACACTCCTGACAGCAACCAGCATTACCTGCTGACAGCTAGTGGCTGCGGACAGTACTGCTGACAACAGCCTGCCTTTTACTCCAGAGGCATGTGGGCCATACGCAGCCTAATCGGCCTGCCCAGGGCAACAGCAGAAGCCCCACAAGGCACCAGCTGTTCCCACTCCCAACCATCTGATGCTTGAGAAGATGACAGAGGCACACTCCTGACAGCAACCAGCATTACCTGCTGACAGCTAGTGGCTGCGGACAGTACTGCTGACAACAGCCTGCCTTTTACTCCAGAGGCATGTGGGCCATACGCAGCCTAATCGGCCTGCCCAGGGCAACAGCAGAAGCCCCACAAGGCACCAGCTGTTCCACAGCACTGAGG